CTCCTACTCTCCAGCTGCCATTCATAGACTTCCATCAGGATCATATGGCCTCAAAGCAAAGCTCTGGCCAGTCCTTCACAAAGAAAATTGATCAGATTTTTTATTAGTGAACTTGTTCTACTGGTCTCTTTCTGTTAAAAGGCAGGATGCTTGTCCCAAGAATTAGACAACAGTTAATGCTCTTTCTCTCAAAAAATCTATTCAAATCGTAAAACTCCCTTCCAAGTCTTACAGCAATCAGATCGCAGCACATCCATACCAGCAAAGTGAACTCAGTGTTCCAAAAGGCACCCATTGCATTTGATCATGTCTAACAAGACAGTGAAAAATTTCAATAGCAAATGTTGTTTTCCTTAGAGCATTCCCAAACAGAAAACTTTGTGTCAGTCATCAAAGGCAAACATTCTTTCACTCATAGACCACAGAGGATTTTATAAATATCTTTGCATCTGCTTCCAAAGGGTGGCCACGACTGATGCCCCTGGCAAAATGTTTTATTTGTAAGGAACTCTCAGAGGAGAGTTTCTGGTATTTTCAGTGTGAACTTGGTAGACATACTTGCAAAAATATTTGTGTATGTGGGGATACTGTTTTTTAAAAATCTGTTGTTTTGTCTAAACTTGATCAGCTTTAACCAATGTTTGGGGATATTTCCATACTTCTTTGACAATTTAACCACTGGAGATTCTTGAAAACCTTCCTTTATTCAGGTTCCATGTTAAAGTGTTAAGTACAAAGGAATGGCTTTCCCAACATTTAATAGCTCTTTCCAAAGCAATTGTCATGGAACATTTGTTTTGTTTGTGCACCCAGTTTTAATATTTATGTAGTGGGCAGCAGAAGGGGTTTATTTTACTGCTGTTCAGGAATAATTCATTTTGTTTGAATAGTAACTATGTGAGCAGCAAAGATCAAACATTTATATCACAGTTAAATGGTCTATGGAAAAATCATTCATCATGTTCCTCATCAGATAATATTTATTAAACAGCTTCATGGAGTCTCATAATAACTCTTATTTATTGGTGAAAACTATTTAGTTACCTTTTTGTGCTAATATATCTTTATTCGCCTATATTATTCATTCTATACATTGCCACCAGAATTATGTAGTTTTTGTTTATGAGGTCACTTCTAACAGCTGAATGTCAAAGGGGATAAATACAATGCACTAACTTTAGAGGGGACATTGGAGTTAAAGAAAAATATTAGCTGGATACTGCTAGTCTATGGTTAAAATCAAGAAACTATTTTAAATGAATTAAAACACAAGAAAAAGTAAAACTAACAAGTTATTTCAGGTTATATATTTTAAAGTTATGGATACTTATTTAAAAGACAAACAATAAAAATGCTATTATTTAGATTCTTTACATCTTGATAAAGCCTAATGAAAAATTATATTATTTTGTAGAATATTGTATTTTTATTAATTTGCAATCATATTTTGTATTCTGTAATTCTGGAAATTCCCAAAGGTTTTATTTTCTACCTTCAAATTAGAACTTATTAAATAACTCAAATTATTCAATCCAAATACAAAATTTTCATTTTTATTTAACTATTTTAATATACTTTGGAGTTTTTTAGTGAATATTTAGTGACGTTTTAAGTTTATAATAAGGGCTTTAATATATGCTAATGAAGTTTAGAAAAAATATTCAACATAATGGTTCAAATGATAAGATTTTATACTTTTTTATAGCTATTTTTAGAAGTGAAAGATTTTTAAATTAAATCTGGTTGGAAACCTCTACAGTTGGGGTCTAGAATGAACACTAACAATACAGGCCTCTGAACTTGACACTGAAGTTTTAGTAGATAAATCAACAGTAAAATATTTTCCTCAATATTTTTATACAAGTGGTCTTTTCTTTGTTAGGGCTTTTGTAATATAGAGCTTCCTTTTCACAGATACTCCTAAAATTCAAAATTTGCCCTTAAATTAGGAAATTATCCTTTATTAGTATTTACATTTTATCATTCCTCTTAATATTTCCTGATAGTCATGCAGTTTCTTACTTATTGCATATTCCAGGTATTGATTTTTTTAATGATCTTATCTCCCTTAATAATCTTCCTTTTTATAAAGTGAATTTCCACTTGTTTTTGAATTTAAGGCTCTAGGTGTTGCTTCAAATTTTAGCTACTATGAGTCAGTTCTATAAAAACATAACTTTAAAAAGTTATTTATGAAAAAATTACTTTGAAATTCCAGTCCCCCTTGTCTAATAACGTGCTCTAGAAATGATACATGATATTTAATCTTACACTGACACAATAGACAGACTGTTTTACTCTCATTCCCACACAAGCATATCTTTTTTTTTTTTTTTTTTTGAGACAGAGTCTCACTGTGTTGCCCCGGCTAGAGTGCCGTGGCATCATCCTAGCTCACAGCAACCTCAAACTCCTGGGCTCAAACGATCCCTCTGCCTCAGCCTCTCGAGTAGCTGGAACTACAGGCATGCACCACCATGCCCGGCTAATTTTTTTTTATATATATATTTTTAGCTGTCCAATTAATTTCTTTCTATTTTTGGTAGAGACGGGGTCTCGCTCTTGCTCAGTCTGGTTTCGAACTCCTGAGCTCAAACAATCCGCCCGCCTCGGCCTCCCAGAGAGCTAGGATTACAGGCATGAGCCACCGCACCCAGCCTACACAAGCATATCTTTATGACATGAAACTACCTTCCCATAGAGAGGAAACAGCCTTCTGAAGTTGCTTCCACTATTTAGAAATTCCATCAAATAATGGCCAAAGCCCTAATCATGTCTGAATATTATATTCCTTTTAAAGATTGTTTCGATTGTTGTCTGGCAAATCATACTAGTGTTCAAGGAGCAGACACTAGTATGGGCTCAGATGAGCTCAGATGGGCTCTGTGGGCTCAGCCTTGAGCTAGTTTCTCAGCGAGATGCGATGGGCCCATATCTAGCCAAAGATAGTGTAACTGACTTCTGGACTCATCCAGACTGAATCTTGGGTTTCATGTGCTCAGTACCAGAGCAGTGCTTGAGAAGAATGGTTATGTAATAAAATATAAAAAAACCACATTTAATTAAGTAGGAGAGTAATAGAGTTGGGGTACTGGAGGCAGGCAATGAAGTCTATGAGAAGATTAGTGGAAGAGTGTTTGTACTGGCTGCCCTAACTCTGAACTCCCTTCTGTTGTCAGGACTGCATCCTGACTGAGGTCACAGGCTTGCTGCACAAGAGCTTGTGCCCAATAGGTAGGGCAATCAAAACTTTTCTCTTAATGTGTTAAGTTAATGAATTGATGGATTCCCGAGGACATTCATTTTTGCCTTGTTTCCCATTTTAGTTTGATAACTAGATATGAAATATATCAGTACAAGCTTGACCTTTTACCTGCTTTAGAGTCATCGCTTTTAAAGATTTCCTCTACACATTTGGTCTCCTCAAAGCATTTAACAGTTAACTCAAATCATCAGAAATAGAGTAGCTTAATGGAATTTATTTTGATGAAATATAGTCCCTTAGGATCTATGAAATCCATCTTATTTTGGATTTCATCAAAGGCCTTTAGGTATTAATAATATTATAATCATGAAGGACGTGGGTAACCAGCATCAACTTTTTCTGTACAAGTCATTTCCCAAAGTCCAATATATTTTGTTCTTCCTGAATCTATATATATCACCAATATCAATCCATATTAATTCTCTAGGCTGTGAGCTCTCAACTACCACTTTATGGGCCAATCCCTAGAAATTTTCATCTTCTTTGAATTTCTTTTTAATTTAGTATATTCCTGAGCTGTATTTCTATTTTCTAGAATAGATATACAAGAAATCGAAACACATTTTTAAATGAGCTGAAACAAAGTTATTAACAGGAATTTAGTGGAAATCTGTGTGTGCAACATATTCCAGTGATAGGTATGGTCATTAATGTTTTCTTCCCCCTTTTTTCCACAAAGCTTTATGGAATAACTCTAAACGTAGCCTGAACTTAGTTTGCCTAAGCTTAGTTCATGGAATGCAATAAAATAAAGCATTCAGCCACATAGGGTAGTAATTATTTGTATGAGAGAAACAAATTTAAGTAAAATTTAGAGCCATTTAAAAAAATTTACACTATCAAATATAGAAAATTTTCACAGGCATCCCTAGTCTTTGAAGGCATGTCTAATTTTGGCCTCTTCTTTGTAGACATGGTACAAAATGATTTATCTCCTTGATGGGATAAATCAAAGAAATTTATTCAAATCTTAAACTGTCCTACAGGGTGTCAACTTGAGTTTCATCCAGAGGCATCCTGAATGACCACTTAGACTGTAAAAGTAGTTGATGTTACTCTACCAAACCATAAACATCTTCATGTATGTTTTGAGAAGATATTTTTTAGTTGCTCCAGAATGTTTTCAGTTATATTTTGATTAAGTGAGTAAACATTAAACACAAAAAGAGAAAGTCCAAGCTGTGATAAAAATTTAATTTTATGCTTTTTTTAAACTTAGTTACTGAGGGTTTCGTGATCTTCATGAGGTGTTTAATAGCATTGAAGTTGGACTAGGGAAAAAAGCAGGAAATAGATCTTCTTAGGAACAACTGATTTGTTGTTTATTTTCAACAAGGTGACTAAAAAAGACATTTAACATATCAACTTAGAATATATTTATCATATTGGAGGAAAATCAGGGTTAATTTCACTATTTCCTTTGTATGTATTTAAGCTACTTGATTTTAGGCATAATTGTATAGTCATTTCAGAAACACTATAAATTCAGCATTATGTGGAAGTAAAATGCCTTTAAAGAACTTTTCAAGAATGAACTAATTTAGGATTTAAATGAAAGGAAAATTGGAATGGAGATAATAAGAATGTTAGGTTAAATAAATTTCGTGCTCCACTCAATTATTATAAAACTTACAACTGACAGAAAAATCCTTCTAATACAAATGCCAGTGAACTCTAAGAGGTAAACAACATGTTCAAAGATTTTGTTTAAGTTTATATTCCTTTTTACCAATAGCTCACAGTCCTGTTAATGATACTGATGTCCCTGCGGAAACAACTGAATGCATTCAAGGTCAAGGAGAAGGTTACAGAGGCACCATCAATACCATTTGGAACGGAATTCCATGTCAACGTTGGGATTCTCAGTATCCTCACCAGCATGACATAACTCCTGAAAATTTCAAGTGCAAGTGAGTAAAGTGGGCAAATGTTATAAATTTCAGCAGACCTTGGGGGAAATGAGGTAAAGTGATTACTTTTTACTAATTTCTGTGTTAGCCATTCTCAAACTTTAGTGTGCCCAGTGACAATTAGGATTTAAACGGCAATTTATTACTCCACTCAGAGATATTGATTCCTTAGTTTTGGGATTTCGCCCTTAAATATGCATTTTAATAAATACTCCAGGTGATTCTGATCCAGAGGGTTGATTCACTGTGCTTTGAGAAACACATCCCTAAGTTGTTTCTGATCACAGCTTTGCTCTTGCAGGTCTATTTAATAAATCAATTAATAGTAATGATAACCAGGCTTGTTTCACACTAGTCCTTTTTTAATTTTTCTTACTACCTTTGGGAGAAATTACATATTCTTTCCTCTTACAAGAAGAAGCCCACCTTGATTTCAGTTAACATTTTAAACTGGGACAGGTACAGTGGCTCACCCTGTAATACCAATACTTTAGGAGGCCAGAGTGGGAGGATTGCTTGAGACCGGGAGTTCAAGACTAGCCTGGGCAACACAGCGAGACACCTGTCTCTACAAAAAATAAAAAAAAAGAATCGGCCAGGTGTGATAGCATACACCTGTGGTCCTTTCTACTTGGCAGAC